CGCTACCAATGGTGATTTAATCTAAATGAGCTCATATCACATTAAGCTGTGTAAATTATTATTATTGTTATACTTCATTCTCAAATTGTTAATGTTAACAACATCAGCATTGCGTGACTATGAGTATAGTGATGAAAGAAAAAATATTGTATAAATAAAAGTGAATTTTTATTTTTTATTATTTGTTTTCCACACACCACCCTTAAATGCCAGTGTATTTCATTACCTCTGCAGGTGAGTGATCTCTTGACTTATATCGTCCAGTTCTTTAATCCCGGTGAACTCGCCTGAACCCACAGAGCTGGAGCTGTCCTGTATGGGGTCCAGCACATTAAATCAGTCCTGCTGCATCTGAACCACACATAAGCACAGCACCACACAAACAGAAGGGTAGAGAACACCAAGGAGCCACCACACAGGAGAAGAGACCAGCTTGTCTTCCACCTCTGATGTTCAAAACATGGGGAAGTCAAGACACAGCACCATTTCACAGCACTGGATCTCTCACAAATGCTTTTCAACTCAACGTCTCGGCTAACCGACCATCGAAAGCATTTGCTCAGGCTTTTTCCCAACATTACCTACCCATAACTTCAACATTATTGCCTGATTTTAGCCAGTGATAACGGCATAAAACATCAGCAGCATTGAAATGTGGATGAAAAGGAAAAGATGATTGTTTGGTAAGATAAGGTAAGAACTGTTGCTTTTGTGATAAGATGTTAGTGGCTCTCTTGCTGTATTGTGAATCTATTTTCATCTACGTCTAGGGTTTGAAATCCTAACTGTAGAAATAGCACAAATGATACTTAAGTTGAAATACATGGAATGAAAGAACAAAAAAAGAGATTGTTTACCCGGCGCATCTCAGTCAGCGCGGCCATGTCAGAGCCTACTGGTGTCATATAACCCGACAAACTCTGAAAAAACAGGAAGCACTTCAAATGAGGGACAATAATATTGCTTCACATTACATTACACAACTAAAGCAAGCAAAGGTCTGTATAGTAAGCATAATAGTAGTAAATAGCTATTTAATTTAAGTGATATTTTATCAGCTCACATTGCTCATTATTCATTTAATGTACTGTAGATAATGCAGGTGGGTAAATCTCAAAAAAAAAAAAAAACTCTGCCAAAAACATGTCCAGGTCATATATTTTCTCTAAAAAAAATCAAATGAAAAATAGGAAACAGCATTTTGCACAAGGAATGTGGAACCTATTTTAGGACTGTTAAGATCAGCTTTATTTTCAACGTGAGTATTACAGACTGAAACAAATAAATATTATTAAAATGGTAAAGTATTTATTTAGCATATTACTATTCATTTATGTATTTAAATTATGCTGATGTAATTTAAATGTAATTTTAAAAAATAAATAAGAAATTTGATTTTTCCATTACTATATTAAAGTAATGAGATTTTGTTATCAGAATAAAACTTTCTTTTACATTACATTAAACAATTTTCATTGTTTAATGTAATCAGTTTTATATATTATGACATAAATAATTTTCCAAATTGAACATATTTTTTGTACATGCATAATGTTCCTGGAAAATATAAAGTATTATTTTGGATTATTAATAAGGTATTATTGATTTTGGGGTAAAATATGACCAGGTCAGTGTTGGTTTAGTATTATTTAAGTACCATCACAGTATTTATTAATCAAAACAACCCTCTACATTGCGAGTAAATCACTCGCAAATGCGACTAAATCTTACTCTGGGCGACTAAATAATATCTAACATTAGCCATTGGCTAATAAATTCTTAGATTTTACACGCCAGTATGTGTGTGAGAGGCGTTCAACACAGATTTTCACTTGATAAACACACTGACTGAGCGCTTGAGTTTCGCTCTCCGTCAAGCGATCTGTACTATTTGGATGCGCTCAATGTATCATGTCATGTACTCAATGGATGCGCAGTATGTAGCATGCAGCGCACCTTTATTTGACGTACTGTAAACTAGTGTTAAGGCGCACGCCTCGCCGTCGCTTTACTGATAGCGCTGTGTTTCTCACACATGCAAAGAGAGAGAGCGACAGTCTTACATACCACGCGGAATCAACGCTGTGCGTAGAGGGTTGCAAAATTAAAATCAGTTTTAATTTTAGTTTAAGTTTTATAAAATAAAATATATTGTATTTAATTTTTTTTTATTCTATTTTATTTGTATTTTTTTAATTGTTTTTAATTAATTTAGTATTAGTAATTTCTAGTATTTCGACCTAAGCCAAGGCAAAATTTCAAATTATCGTTCAAGTTTAAGTTATATATATATATTTATTTAATATATATATATATA